CTAAATGCAAGATATATAGGTAAGGGGTATCATGTGGTGCTGTGACAAACGGATGGCCTTCAGCAGATGTGGCAGTACCTCTGCAAAAAAACATCACAATTATATGGTCTAGTCTGACAACAGCATATAGTGGTTGCTCACCTTTTTGTACAGTATTAGAAAGGTGGCTGCATGGATGCCTCTTAGGCCTTACCTGCCTTTATCATTCTGAAAATCCTTTCATGTTCTTGTAGCTGTTCATAGTTTATCTTCGCGTTTGCCAGGCTAGCACCTAAACACTTTTTGTTGTTGCTTTTGCAGGAGGAAAGTTGTAGGGCAACTGTAGCATTGAGGGAAGATCCAAGATACGTAATGGCCTCCACTCTCAATGGTTATCAGTGAGCTCATGACCATAGTTGTAGAAAAGCAAGCATTACATCAGGCATGGCCTTTCTCTCCTTGAAGGCATGTTCTGTTTGGAAGATTATCCTCCTTATGTCCAGAACCCTAAGAAGCAAGGGGATGTGCAGAAGTAATTTTGGGAAGGGCAAAGTCTATTAATGACATCTTACGGCTTGTTTGCTTGACTGCAGTTTTATCTGTGTACATTTAAAAGAATGCCAAGTTTAGGATTCCTTGTGGGATCAAGCCCCTTCCCTTGCCTGCTCCCTCCCTCCCTCCCTTGACACTCGTACTAGGAAAGGAGAGCAGAGATGTTGAAGCCCTAAGTCAGCAGACTGAGCAGGCGTACCTGTGACGTAGTCAGTTTTCTCACTGTGATAAGATGCATTGTCTTTCTTTTCAATTGGAAGATTTTCAGTTTTGCATGTATAATAAGCATTAGCTCGTGTAAGTGTCTTCTTCTCTCCTTCTTTGATGATATTTCTTTTTATTTACGGATATAGGTTCCCTCCCCGCACCGCAGAAGTGCTAGAGACCTTTCCAGACGGATAACTACTATTGAAATAGCAGGAAAAAGAGCCTGGTTACTTAGCTCTAAAGAGTATATGATTACTGTAGTCCAGTGGGGAGGGTGGATATGGGCACATTTTAGACTAGCTCTTGGTAATCCATAAAGTGTTAGTTTAAGTTGTCTTCTGTTGTGGGTTTGATCCAAGTTTTAATTTTGTGGTATGGTTACTGGCAACATCTGACAAAGGGCCATGTGGACTTATGTGACTATTCCAAGGATTTGATTGCTGGAATTGCCTTTGGTGTAAATTTCTTGAGATTCCTATTTAGTTTGTCAGGCCAGGTCTGAGGAAGTGGACTTGTTCGCGAAAGCTTACATCAAGGCGTAGCAGTTAGTCTTTATGGTGCCACAACACTTTTTCTTCTCTATTTTTTTATTTTTGTTTTGTTTTTGGCCTGATATGCGAACACAGACTAACACAGCTACCTTTTCTAAAACTATTGTAGCTTGCTACAGTTGGAGTAATTCTATCCTATTGCTATGTTGGGTGAAAGAGTAGTACTGTGTGGAGAATTTAATAAATAACTGACATAGGGCTAAGTGCACCATTTGTTAGAGGTGAATTAAGCCCATAAAAATTGATGGGACTTGTTAGTCATAGCGAGCAAGCCTTTTGATTCCAGTGGGGCTGTTTTTTGTAGGGCAAATACTGGATTTAGTCTTCTTTCCTCGTGTCTTTCGTTCTGCTTTTAAGTTTGCATTCTCCATGTCTGTGGGGGCAGCTCTCAGGGTTTCTTTAAACTCAGCTGTAATGGCTTTGATTGCTGTCTCTCGTGGGGGAATTCCCAGCTTTGTCTCCTGATTAAGTCAGTTCTTCCATCCTGATGATTTATCATAAGTCAGTGAATCCATGGACTTCCCCTATCATGACTGCCATCATGAGGAAAAAGTTATTTCTCTAATCTTTTTCACATTTGTGAAAGAGCTTAAATGTGAACCTCTGCCCAATTACTTGCACCTTTATGCAAAACATGGCCAACTATTTGTTTATTTATGCTGCTTCCATACCTTATTAACAAATTGTTTAGGTGCCAATCAAAATGGATTAAACAAAACCTGTCAGATACACAATAGCACAGTAAAAATGCAATATAAACTGCAGGAGCTTTAAAAAAACCGTCCAGCAAAAACTACTCTCCCAACAGTGAATCGATTTTTGAATTTGTAAGGCTCATCCATACTGCCGTTTGTTCTGCTTTTAGCACTAGCTTCTGCAGCTATTGTTTTGCTGTTTTATTTGATATCTAGACAATATTTAGCTTGTCCTTGTTGCAGCTGACCTTTGTCTGGGATTTTATAGTGTATGGGTTGAATTTTAATATTTAGGTTGAAGAACACACCACAACAAGCCAAGAGAAACAAAAGATTGTGGCACCTTAAAGACTGCTATATTAAAATGTGAGCTTTGGTGGACTAGTCTGGGGAAGTAGACTTGATCCAGAGAAACCCACATTAAAATACATCTTTAAGATGCCGCAATGCTTTGGCATGTGGATGTACGTATGTATAGTATTGTTATGAAGCACTGAGAAGTATTATGGGAGTGGGCAAAGTAACACTTGAAATCACCCTAGCACAAACTTTAAATTAACAATAACTTCTTAAAATGCCTCGCTCAAGAGGCTGAGAGAACAAAAGTGATGCCAGGAAAGATTTTTCTAGGGAAGTTCTGTAATTAGCTCGAGCCCTTGAAAAGGCCCTGTTCACCATGGCTAACCTCTAAATGTCAGTATCAAAGAGCACTTGGGTAGAGGAGCGTCTCTGTCGATTACTTCAGTGTCTGGATAGGGATGTAGTGAAAGAGGCGTATCATCAGATTCCTGTCATTCTCTGTGGAAGGTATTGGTTGCCAATTCAGAGGCTGTAATGTGGAACAGCAGCTGCGTGATAGTTCTGGTTGGAGAAGCCTGATGAAACTTGAAGCACAGTTTAGAAACTGGCAAACATCTGGTTCCAAGACAGAGATGAAGCTAGAACTAACAATGTCATAGGATACTATATTGTATTTGTACTGTTTAAAGGGTACACCTATTAGGCAGTGCCTTTCACAGACCCAGATTTTCAACATTTTGGAGTTTGTGCGAAAATGGGAAGTCCTTAATACAACTTCTTAAAGAAAAAAAAAGATGTGAGTGGGCGGGTTTGTGGTGTGAAGCTTTAAAAGGGTTCCAGCGTCAGTGTGTGAATAATTACTTTTATAGATTATAACTTCCACAATAACCAGAACAGCTGGGAGATTCTGGGAGTTTTAAAACAAAAACAACAACATTTTGAATCTCCATGCAGGATGAATAGTGATATGTCTGGGCTCCAAAAAGAGAGGTTTGTCCATTTTATCATGCCGTGACAAGTTTCAGTAGACTTGTGGAACGGTGCATGGTTGTTATCAGGGTCTCCATGCAGCTGTTTGGGAGGAGACACAACGTGCAAATGGGTTATCAAAGCTAAGAAGGGCTGGTTCTAAGAATTACGACTCCCCTCTGTGTCACGCTTTCATTCTGCTGTCCCTTTGATGCCATCAGCATGTCTCCTCTCCTCCAATTTGAAATGGTATTTCTAAATCATTCTTGATGGAAATATTATGTCAAGATAGGAAGCTGTCCTGTATGATCTGGATATATCACTTGGATTGAGAGCTGCATTACCAATTGTCGCTGGATCTTGACTATGAGGACTGCAGCATTTAGTTTCTGAAGTGAGTTAATGTTTGCCAATTCTAGATCTTTGAGTGCATGTAAGAATGGGACGAGATGAAGAAAACACCACACGCTGAAACACCTTGTGTTTCTCAGCTTGCTACCTATTGTGGTTGTCTCTCCATACTTCCCTACCTCTGGTTCTTTATCCCTCACAGCTCCCCAGATTTACATTTTCCATTCTACTTCAGCCTCTTTTTCTTCCCTATGATGTTCATGGTCTCTTTTGTATAGAAGTACTTTATATACAGTATATATACAGTGTGTGTGTGTGTGTGTGTGTGTACGTACGCACGTACACATATACATATACATATACATATACATATACATATACATATACATATACATATACATATACATATACATATACATATACATATACATATACATATACATATACATATACATATACATATACATATACATATACATATACATATACATATACATATACATATACATTTTAAAAACCACTAAAAATCAAACAAATGGCCAGCTTTCATGGGTAAAAATCCAACTTTTCAGGCTTGGCACAACCCCTTCAGAAAAATTGGGGACCTCAGCCTTTTCCTTTTTGTTTCTCAGTGGAAATGTATTGCCATGCTGAGTAAGCAAATACAGTATTAACTCAAAGATGGGCATGGTTTGAAAAAGTACCCTTCCACAATAATACAGGAAGCAACTATCAGCATTGTGAACATCCTGATCTTGTCAGAATTTGTAAACTAACCAAGGTTGATCTGGTTAGTACTTAGATGGGAGGTTAGCAGGGAATGAGTATTGAGGACTTCTAGTCAGAGTGGGGAAAGAATTGCCCCTGAAGCCATGGAGAGCTGCTAGACAAATATATTTGTTTTTTGTGATTTAGACTGGATAGGTTGGTTGGAATTATAGTTCAATAACATATGGAAAGTTTCTGCCTACTTTAAAGGGTAGAGGGCTCCAACAATGGTGTTTCCCCCCCCAGTCTAAAGGTATTAATGAACTGTAGGAGTTTTTCTGAGACTTGAGAGGTTGTAGAACAGCTTTTCTGGAACTGTTGGGGAAAATGGTAGCCTGAATCCAGATGGTAATATTAACTAGAGTAGACAGTTTGTGAGCGGAGCTCTTTTGGGAAATCTGCTCCCTTTCTGGTCAAGGGTGGCTGGATAGTCTGGCTGTAGAATACATGAGATTTATGTAAATGTTGATCTGCTGTTCAGCAGTTCATTCTGTGGTACTATTCTAGATGGCAAGGGGATTTAAATTTCACAGCTAAATCTGTAGAGGACTTTTGCAAGTCTGTTCTTTTATGAACCTTTAAAGGAAGTAATTTAATTAACTCTGTGATGTCCGCTCATCTTTTCTGGTAGATGGAATCTTCCAGAATGGCCTTTCTTGGCTGGGTGCTTGCTTTCCTTTCTGGCCCATCAACTGGTTACCCAAATGGAAAAGTGAAGGAAGCCTGCAGTAGTATGATGCCTCTCCACGGACACGTGCCTCAGAAATTTCCAAAGCACACAGCTGAAGTAAATGTGACACAGTTTAAACCGGGTGAACATGTGAAAGGTATATTTGTTGCCTTTTGTAATGAGAAAGAAAGGTTGGCTTCTGGTGGTGCTTCCTCCATTGGTTAGTTGCAGAAGTGATAGTTATAAAAAGCTTAGACCAACAATTCCAAATCCAAAGTTCTGCCTAGAGCAAAATATCCATTCCGTTGTCCTGTCCCTGGAAGCGTACTTCAGTTAGGTTCGGGGAATTGGGAAGTCTGCTCCCTTCTGCATTAGGGTAGTTGGATGGTTGAACTTTTCAACTGGCGATTGGTGACAGAAATTACTTTTTAGACTGCAACTCATACAGTACTCTAGCCTGCAGGCACATTGGTCTTGATGGCTGGATTACAATAGGAACCGTAGTACCGAAAACAACAACAACACACATTACCCATCTGTGTTGCCATGTGTTCCCTTATTTCCCGTTCTTATGGTAGTCATGGTCATAGAACACAGGAAGCCAGGAATCTAGAGGACCCTTGGTTTACTGTGAGTAAGCCGTGTGTTGGTGCGTACTACCTAATGACTCCGACTTGCACTGGAAGCTTTGCTCCATCATGTATTACTGTTTTGTTGAATCCAGGGGCGGCTTATTCCTCTGCCTATTCCTTCCTCCCCAACAAACCAGAGAAGAAATCCATAATGAACCTAAAACAAACTATGGGTTCTTTCTCTGATTTGTTGGGAGATAAAGTCATGTAATACTTGTATGGATACTTAACACAGTACTTAACTACTGCCCATGCAGCTGGAGAGTGATCTGGCAGTATGTACTCACATCTGATAACCCACAGTTCCCATCAGTTCTCTAGTTTATAGTGCTGTATGAATGAAGCAACTACAGTAGTGCCCCGCATGATGACGACCCTGCTAAATGACGAATCCGCAGGACGATTACTTTTTTACGATTACTATAGTGATTGAAAATGATGTTTCCTATGGGGGATTTTTGTTTGACAACGATTAGGTCCGTGCTTCGCGAACTGTTTGTTCGCTTTGTAGGGCAGCCATTTTAACAACTGATCGGCGCTCGGAAAATGGCTTCCCCTATGGGGGATTGCTGGACGACAAGGGAATTTCCCCAGTGGAATGCATTAAATGGGTTTCAATGCATTCCAATGGGGAATTGTTTTTCACATGATGACGATTTCGCTTAACAGCGATTTCAGGGGAATTGATTATCGTCGTCATGAGGGGGGGACCACTGTATGTTTGTGTCTTGACATCGTGTGTGTCAAGAGGCCCCATGCTGCATCATTACCTGCTGGGTAAGGACTATCTGGGGAAACATACTGTGTTGGTATATTGAAAAGGGAAAAGTTGCATGAGAGAGAGAGAGAGAGAGCACATAGGAAGGATGGACGGTTGTGGCCTTTAAGATATTGTTGACTTGGAACTCCCACCACTTTTGCCAGTCATAAAGGATTATGGGACTCTCAGCAACAGTATCTGGAGGGGCACAATTGGGGAGGGAGGCAATGTCTGACTCAAGTGTCCAAGTGGTGCATGCAAGGGTACATGCTTATGAGAGAATGCAGAATTGCCTCAGGATACATTTTGAGCTACTTGTGGCTTTGTAGCCACAAGAACCATTTCAGGCATGAGTTAAAGGATATACATTTCATGTGTCTGTACTTGTTGCCAAAATAACCAACCTAAGATTGATATCCATTTCTTTTTGTCTTCCTTTTGGTTTCAGTGACCTTGTCTGGGCCTACGTTTGAAGGCTTTTTCCTACAAGCCCGAGATGCTGAGAATTTGGAGGGGGCTGCCATTGGCTCTTTTGTACTGGCTGACAAGAAAAGATCACAGCTTCTTACCTGTGGGCATGTAAAGGTAAGGGATCATGATGGATTTAGGAAAGCATGTATATTTAGAGAAAGCACATTAATCACAGTGTTTACTGTATATGCTTGCTTTGCACCAATATGGTAGGGGAAAGTAAAATTAAAAATTCTGTAAATATATTGGTTTTTTAATAAATACTGTCTATGAAAAAGCTTATAGAGGTTTGATTTTGGACTTAACACTGGCTTTATAGGCAATTCTTAAAGCAAATATTAAATCCCCAAACCGCCCCCCCCCCCTGCTGGTGCCTGCAGATAGAAGTGGTGAATTAAGCCATTCAAATAGGCTTGGGAAAAGTGATCATCAGATGGCTCAAGTTATAATATGTGGGGTTTGGTTTTTTATTTTTTGCCCTTCCCTTAATAGCTTCCACATTTTTAGGAGTACAACATCTGCAAGCTCTATTTAACATGAGCAGTGGTTGAGGATTATGGGATTTGTTCTCCAAAATATAGCACATCAGGATGAACTTATGGCTGGCTTGTTTTCTGAGTCACCTCTGAGGAGCCAGCATTCAGATAGGCGGGATATAAATTAAATAAATAAATAAAAATAAATGAATGTGTCTGCTATGTTCTTCTTGACAAGTTGTTTAACTTGGTCCCACTCCAGAGTAAGGTTAGATGGCATTGGCTTAATCAGTCTACTTCTGATCTGTGCCTGTTTTGCGTGTGTTTATCAGTTTGCTTCATCCTGTTTCTACCCCAGTCTGTAACTTTAAAAACAATTCCGTATTTAAGTACCTATCTGGATAGATTTTTCTCACAATATGTGCATTTCTAAACATCCATTTCAGTTCATCATTGAAGCAGAGAGCTGCCTTTCTAAAATTCAGAGTGTCTGCCATGTTCTTCTTGACAAGTTGTTTAACTTGGTCCCACTTCAGAGTAAGGTTAGATGGTGTTGGCTTAATCAGTCTACTTCTGATCTGTGCCTGTTTTGCATGTGTTTATCAGTTTGTTTTATCCTTTTTCTACCCCAGTCTGTAACTTTAAAAAACAATTCTGTATTTAAGTACGTATCTGGATAGATTTTTCTCACAATAGGGCTTATGGCCCATGTAGGGTGGAGCTGATAGGAGGTGTCAGGGCCCTGGTTTCACTTGCAACATTTTGTGGAACTGATGCATGGCTGGATGAGGGGGGAAGCTGGGGCCCAGGCCTTCTTAGACACTCAGTAGAGGCGACTTTGGGCAAGTTGCTTTTCTTCATCAGGATGGCACTGGAGACAATTAGTATCAAGGGAGAATTTTTTTTCTTTTGGTTTTCAAATCTATACTGACATACTACAGTACACATTCACAACTGTGATGTAAGCAAAGGATAAAAATGTGGCTTGTGTTTGACTATGCTTTACATGACATAGAAGAGGAGACGTTTGCACAGTTTTGCTGTGTAGTGCTAAAATGGGCCTTCTGTACATTGCAGAACTCAGCTGTCAGCCACACAAGTAAATCTAAGAAAACCCAAGTGGATGTCTATTGGATTGCTCCACAAAACTCACCAAAAAGAATACAATTTCTGTAAGTACATTAGAATTATGTACAGTATGTATGCGTTTTCTATTGTTAGAGCTGTTTTCAACGGTAGTTGTGTCAAGACTGTTACAACACACATAGGAAAAATACAAAGTAGAAATAAATACAATTGTGTTACCTTAAAAACTAAACAGATTCATTTCAGTGAGTTTTTGCGGGCAACAGTCTATTTCCTTAGACTTTTAGAGTGAAATATTTAGCCATAGGTTTATGTGAAGGAGTTCTAGAGGAAAAGGAGAGAGAACAGTGAGCCGTCGCCTCAAACCAAGATGACTGACAAAAGGAGAAACGGAGTAAGTAGGGATAATGGAAAGTGAAAAGTCAAATGCGGAAGAGGAGAAGGAGAGGTAATCAAAGGGAAAGAAGGAGAAAGTCGATATTTGTCTGGTGGAAGAGAGAGAGGGGAGGAGTTAGTTTTACCAGTCTGGAAGGAGGAAATGGGAGGAGGAAAGAAGGAGAGAGCTTAGAGTTCCAATGGTTGAAGAGAAGAAGGATGTGGAAGGAGATAAAGGAAAGGAGAAAGAATTGAAATATGACAGAATGCGCGGGCTGTTAGAAGATTTCCCTAATTTAAAGGTAGGAGGACTACTACCTAATCCAGAGAAATCTAAAGAGAATGGTGGATCCACTAGAATGGACTGTTGTAGTTTTTCCGTGGGGGCAAGGTCCCTCGAAGGAGGTGATTTGTCCAGACTCCACCTTCAACAGTCTTTGACCGGAAGGAGATTGGGCCAGACATCCCTGCTGTGGGACAGTTAGCACGGTCCGGAGTGCTCCTATGAGGAAGCCCACAGATCGGGAACGCTTTGGGCCAGCCCCACAATGAATCTTGTTAGTTCTGAACAAGATAGTTAGTCTCCAAAGTATGGACAGTTACCAGATGTTGATTTGTTTGAACCAATAGAAGTTGTTATTGATTCAGTTCTGAACAAGATAGTTAGTCTCCAAAGTATGGACAGTTACCAGATGTTGATTTGTTTGAACCAATAGAAGTTGTTATTGATTCACCCAGCGTTACCGTATTTCCCTGAAAATAAGACCTACCCTGAAAATGAACCCTAGTATTATTTTTCAGGATGCTCGTAATATAAGCCCTACCCCCCAAAATAAGCCCTAGTGAAGTGAAACCCTGTCCTCTACCATTGTGCAGCAACCAGAAGATGATATGACTGTAAAATAAAACATCTGAAAATAAGCCCTAATGTATTTTTGGGAGCAAAAATTAATATAAGATCCTGTCTTATCTTCGGGGAAACACAGTAAGACAAATAAAAAGTTTAATGTTGAAGAACAGACTCAGTTGTCATTTCCCACCAAAAAAAGAGGAACTGCTCCAGCTCTTCCATGAACCCAATCACACAGACCTAAAGTAGCCATCTTTAATTCAGGCAGTGAATTTGTAAAGATGTATTCTTACTCCCTGGAAAATACCTTGATGTTAGGAAAGTGTGACGGCAAGAGGAGAAGGGGATGACAGAGGATGAGATGGTTGGACAGTGTCTGCGAAGCGACCAACATGAATTTGACACAACTACGGGAGGCAGTGGAAGACAGGAGGGCCTGGCATGCTCTGGTCCATGGGGTCACAAAGAGTCGGACACGACTAAACGACTAGATGACGATCCTTACCCTTATTGTTCATTTTTACACTTGAAAGCCTGTACTCTTCATGAAGATGTTCCCATAAGAAATACAATAGAATGTGGGGGCTGTTGGAAGATTTCCCTAATTTAAAGGTAGGAGGACTACTACCTAATCCAGAGAAACCAAAAGAGAGTTGGTGGATCCAAACAGCAAATTACAGCAATTCTGAGGGGGTTCGGTGGGATAGAAAGGCTCGTAGGTGAGGCTTACTGTATTCAAGTTGTCTGTTTCCTGCTTGGCATTGATATTATTTGGAAGAAGGGTTGTTTGTTTTTAAGAACAGCATTCAAAAATCTGAAGGGATATAACTTATGCTGTATAGCATAACCCAGCTGTTTTCATTTGGAGCCACTGTTTTTCAATGATAAGAGTGGGCGATACCTTTTATTGGACC